TTGAATTCGTTAGGCACCCCCCTTGGCACACCTATGGCATCAATATATACATGGGGGTCGAAACTCCCTCGGATAGGAGTCTCTCGTTTGGTTCTAGAGTGTTCATGTGTGAGGTTTAACGTGTTATGACTACCATCTGGAATGATATGGATAGGCATTATGACTTTGGTTAGGGCACACTCCCCCCACCATTGCCCAGCTAATTGGGACCTCAATTGTTTATCACCACATAACCAATAGATATCACCGATTGTCTTTGTGTGATTCATTAACAGTGATACGGGTGGATCATGATAGGTTGAGCAGTATCCTGATGGGAATTTGCCCAGATGTGAACCAGTGTTATTTGGTATCGTATAGCATGTGTAGTTACCTGGGTAGATGGTGACTCCATCAGGTGGTTTTACATGTCCATGAGTGATCGGGTAGATCTTCTTCCATGACTCACATGTTGAGGAGTTAGTGGTGGATTGCGTATAAAGACTCAGTACACATAATTCAACCTCGGGAGGTAAGCTCAGAGGAACTGTGCCCAGATGGGGCCTAGCCCCTCCACATACATAGCAATTAGTTTTATTGTGTGAGTTAGCATTATACCTCATCCATTCTAGCCACAGATTTGTATCTGAGAACCCAGTCTCTACCGCCATAGTGTCCTCAAAGGTGGGGTTGGCTATGGCTACCATGTCATGTAGAGTCTTAATATGTGGTTTTAATGGGTTAATTATCATGTGAGTGGTCCCTACCCAGTCTGAGGAAGTGAGCATGTCTTGTAAGTAAAATGTCCCCAATGCATTATGTGAGCCACCCCCCTTCCAGTACATCCCCATCACATACTCCCCCGCATCCCTTGGGCTAGGGTGTTCTATATTCAGGGTAAGTTTAATGGGGGTTGACCCTGTGGGTTTACTCAGAGTCATTCTGGAGAGTAGGGGCTTCCCGTCCTTGTCAAGTCTGTCCAATGCAACCTGAGGTCTGTAGCCCCATGGCCTACCTGTATTCCACCCGGCAGCTTTCCATGAACCACAGTGGTGTCCCCAAGTTCCTCCGGTCACACAAATGTATGGATCCTTCTTGTTAGGTATATCTTTGTATATGGCTGCATATTGTGTTTGTGGAAATGTACAAGTAACTATGTCACAGTAATCAAAGGTGTATGTAGCTACATCAGTGTTAGAGGAGTTGTACCAGAAAGTGTAAACATGATTATCTTTGGTTATGGCCACTTGTTGGGCCCAAGCAAAGTGCAGCAAAATGAGAAAACACAAAACATATAACAAATTCATGTTTCAGCAGGAACAGCTTCTTCTGGGGCAGGCACTTTTTTGCAATGTGAAGCGTGTATCCAAGAACTCTTCCCAGCTAGTTTAACTGACGTTGCTGTAATCAGGAGCACTTGATAAGGACCATCAAATCTTGGTTCTAGGGTGTGTTTCCTGAGAAACTTCTTGACCATAACCCAGTCACCAGGGAGTAGCTTGTGTGTACCTGTATTCGACTCAGGATCTGGAATAGAAGAAAACACTTGGGCATGTATTTTGGTCAGGGCATGAGAGAGAGCGGTCACATAGTCTACCATAGCATCTGACTGAATCTGAAGCTGCTGGGGAAAATAACACCCTAACCTAGGTGCTGTACCAAACAAAATCTCATAGGGTGACAGGCTATATTTTCCCCTAGGTGTGTACCTCACACTAAACAAGGCCAGTGGGAGACTCTCGGGCCAGGGCATGTTAGTTTCTTGTGACATTTTAAGCATTCTGGCCTTCAAAGTGCCATTCATGCGCTCTACCTTACCACTACTCTGTGGGTGATATGGTGTGTGGAATGCAAGGGTCACCCCCAGTGCTGACCAGACTTCCCGTGTTAGCGAGGCAGTAAAGGAGGTCCCCTGGTCACTTTCAATCACTTCTGGGACTCCATAGCGGCAAACAATTTCCGTCAAAAGATACTTGGCTGTAGTCCTTGCGGTGAGGTTAGTTACTGGGAAGGCTTCTGGCCATCCTGAAAACATGTCCACTATGACCAATGCATATTCATAACGTCCACTCTTTGGCATCTGAATGTGATCAATCTGAATCCTCTGAAAGGGATACTGTGGCTTGGCTAGGTGGTTAGGTGCGGTCTTTATAATCTTTCCAGGATTGCATTTAGCACATATAGTACAAGACTTACAGTAATTCTGTGTTAAGGTGGTGATGCCTGGTGCTTCAAAGTATTTGTCAATCAGTGAGTTCATCAGAAGTTTTGACAGGTGAGCGGGCCCATGGGCCCATTGTACCACTGCTGGGTACATGCTTCTGGGTAAGCAGAGCTTGAGATTGATAGTGTAGACATCATCACGGAGTACAGCACCTTTATTTTTCCAACCTTGTTTCTCCTGGGGAGTGGCAGCAGCTTGCTGTTCCTTCAGAAGCCTAAGGTCTGTAGGTAATGTTTGCATAGTGTAGATAGGTAATGTGTCTGTGGCCACTCTTCTGTCCACTTCCCATCTTTGCCGTGCTGCTTCCTTAGCTGCTTGATCAGCTAGGTGGTTACCACGTGCTTCTTCTGTGTCTAATCTTCCATGAGCTTTTACTTTCAGTACTGCCACCTCTGCTGGAAGTTCCAGTGCATCCATCAGCTCTGCAATGGCTGCCCCATGTTTTACTGGGGTACCAGTGGCCGTAAGAAATCCTCTGGTCTTCCAAATTAGGCCAAAGTCATGTGCCACTCCCAGGGCATATCTTGAATCCGTGTAAATGTTGACACGTAAACCTTCAGACAATTTGCAGGCCGCAGTTAGGGCTGTCAATTCAGCTTCTTGAGCAGACTTGGTTGGTTGTAGAGCAGCTGCTTGTAATACTTGGCATTCTGTGGTGACTGCATACCCAGTGTGATATTGCCCCTGTTCATCAGCAAATCTTGACCCATCCACAAATAGTGTTTGGTCCGGATTGAGTAATGCAGCTTCATAGACAGTTGGTAGGTGTGTGGTTTCCATTTTCATTTGTTCAAAACAATCATGAGGGATATCGATATCACAGTTTGTGGTGAGTGGATCCTCACAGGCTTCTGTATGGTACCTGGGGTACCCAGCTGTGCAGTAATTAATAATCCTTTTGTTGACCCCCGTAGAAGTCAGTTGTTCTTGGGTCATTTGACTCCAGGTTTTGGCTATCGGGCCTAGGTCTTTCCATGAGATGTCAGGAGGTCTGGTGAAGGAAATGTGCGGAATAGATGTTTCCCAATGGTGATAAAGATGTGTCACACTCTCTGGGAGGTGGACTAAGACGAGCATGGTACCTGTGTGGTCCCAAAACAAGTCGGTCAGGGTAATGTAAATTTCTTTGAGGTGGAATACTTCTTGTTCATAGTTCATATCAGGGCCTGGTTCATCCTTAAACCACAAAGTGCAATGAAGTAGGGCCACTGATTGTTCATCATGTGGAGGTGCAAGTGCAGGTAGTTGTAGGTCTTCTAGAACCTCTGGGTTGATGTCCAGGCTATACCAGTGGTGTACAATCCCCTCCTTGGGAAGTGGCAGAAGAGTGGCCGGATTAAGGGTAAGACATCTCTGGAGTTTCACATTGTCAGGTAGAAGTAAGGAGGTTTGGAGGCGGAGGTGGCGTTGGGAGGAAAGGTGTTTAGGCTGAACTTGTTGGAGGATAGCAGTAATGTCATGAGGGGCCAGCACTGTGAGGTGATGGCCGAGAACAAAGTCATTAGTCTTATCCAGGAGAGCGCTGGCGGCAAACACAGCACGGAGGCAAGAGGGGCTACCCCTTGCAACTGGGTCAAGCATACAGGAAAAATAGCCAATGGGCCGTTGTCTGGTCCCATGTTTCTGAGTAAGGACTCCGGAAGCATGTCCTGATTTTTCAGAGACAAACAAATTGAAAGGGAGTTGGTAGTTGGGTAGGCCCAAAGCAGGTGCAGAGGCAATAGCTCTTTTCAGAGTACGGAAACAGTTAATAGTCTCTTCAGTGAGGTGAAAGGGCTCACTCCTGAGGGCACCATAGAGTGGCTGCATGAGTTTGGAAGCTTCAGGTATCCAAGATCTGCAGTATGTGATGAGACCCAAGAAAGCATGAAGAGAATGGTGGGTTGCAGGTAATGGGAGTTGCAGGATAGCTTGCACCCGTTGTGAAGTTAGGTGTTTGGTGCCATGGGAAAGGCAATGTCCCAAGAAGACCACAGAGGGCCGGCACCATTGTAGCTTTGATTTGGAGGCCTTGCATCCTGCAGCAGCGAGAAAGCATAGAAGATCTTCTGAGTCACGTTCTGCAATAAGTAAATTAGGAGCACATAGTAGGAGGTCATCAACATATTGAAGTAGAACAACATCCAGATGAGATTTCTGCCAGGGATCCAAAACCAGAGACATGGCACGAGCAAACTGTGTGGGAGAGTTCTGAGCCCCTTGAGGCATTACAGTCCAGGTATATTGTTGTCCTTCATGTGTGAAGGCGAAAAGGAAACGGCAGGAAGGGTCAAGGGGGACACTGAAAAAGGCATTAGCCAGGTCCACTACAGTAAAAATTGTTGAATTTGGTGGCACTTGGGACAAAAGGGTATGGGGGTTTGGAACAATGGCAGTGTCCTTTATGGTAACTTCATTTACAGCACGGAGGTCTTGTACCATGCGGTACTGGTCGGGTTGGCCCTTAACAGTGCGCTTTTTAACAGGGAAGAGTGGGGTGTTGCATGGAGAAGTGCACTTGGTGAGGGCACCCTTGGTAAGCAGAGATTCAACTTGTTTGGTGATGGCCTCAGCTTGTGCAGGCTTCAGAGGATACTGAGGTCTGCGAGGAGGAAGGGCCCCAGGCAGGAGCTTGACCAAGACGGGGGGTACATGTAGGCGTCCAATATCATCCGGCCCGGTGGACCAAAGTTCTTGAGGGATACGATCCAGAGCACTGGGGGTGTGTGTGACCCGTGCAGTCCCTGAATTGTTTGTTAGATTCAGCAAGATGGGGAGGGAACATAGTACAGAAGTATCTTTTTGAGATAAAGGGGTTGTTAACTCAACCTGACCATCTGCAGTAAAGGTAATAGAGGCCTGGAGCCGGGAGAGAACATCTGCACCTAGGAGGTTAATGGGGCAAGTAGAGGAAACAACAAACCGGGACAGAATGTGTGAACCTACGTGTAAGAGCTTGGTAAGAGGGTTACTGCGTGGTGTGCCATCTACCCCAACACATGAAACATCGGTGTTAGAAAGGAAAGAAGGGTCAGGCAGGTCTTGTTCCCTAAGGACACTACGGGCTGCACCTGTGTCAACTAAAAAGGTTGTTGGGTGACCCTCCACGGGGAGAACTACAGTAGCTAAAGGTCCTCCCCCATCCCCCGCAGACACTGCCATGGCAGGGGTTGGTGACACAGGCTTGCCAGTTACCTATTGCAATAAATCTAGGTGAGCCTGATCTGGGCCCTGGTACCGGCGGGAAGTGGAAGGAGGGGTAGCAGTGTGCATGGGGGGACGGGATGGACGGAGGGCATGGCGGGGATGAGGCTGGTTGTCCTGGAAGTCATCAGTATCATACCCTTCAGCGGAGGGCGAAGTGTATGCACGGGCCTCCGCTACAGGGAGCCGGGCTTGGGAGTATTCAGGAGGTGGTGGAGGAGGAGGCGGAGGAGGGAGCTGAGGTAACTGCGGATGGGGCAGGGCGGGGAGATAACCCGTGGAGGGGAAGTGGTAGCTCTTGACATGGGGATTCTGGTACCGGAGGGTCTGTTGGCGGTACACTCTAGGGTGTGGACAATCTCTTCTAAAGTGACCCGGCTGGTTACAATTAAAACAAGTCCGGATTGTTGTGACAGTCCGGTCACGGTCTCGGGAGAAGGGAAGCGGTGCAGGCAGTGTCTGGGGGGACTGAGTGTACTGTTGGGGGGGCATCTGTGGACCCTGATTTGGACCTACAATCGGGGCGGAGGCAGCATACATCAGAGGGTTGGTTCTACGCTGTGTGGGGAGCATTACAGATTCTAAGCCCTTGGCTACCAGCAAAAGAGTGTCCAGTGGAATAATTCTATACTCAGGTCGAGCTAAAATTAACCCCTTACGAATGTGTTCCCTAAGCCCTGCCACAAAAGCTGCAGAAAGCATCTGAGTGTGTGCTTTGTTGTAAGTACTGAACCCTAAGTCTGAAAAGGTCTGGGTTAACCTAGAGTGATACTTTTCAACAGTCTCAAGTTTGTCCTGTAATATGTCATTAATGCAAGTAGCCTGATCTGCTAATTTATCCTGTGCCCAGGCACGAAGCTGTTCACAAAAAATTTCACCAGAGCGAAAGTCAGTATCAGAAGTCAGTGGAGCATCATTAAAACTCCGTTCCATGATTGGCCAGTATGCATCTCCAGCCTTTATTTCACATAGACTAATAAGATCTCTCCAGGCAGCGGAGTATGTTTTACGGATCTGAGCCATTCTGCGGAAGAAGGGCATGGGGTGTTTTTCAGGATCAGGGAGCGAGGTTACGAGGGTAGCAGCTTGGGAAGGGTTGAAGGTGACATACATAGGCGGTGCACCATCCGCACCATGGGTGATCTGGGGATATCCCTGAGGGATAGAGTGCTGGGGAGGGGGCCTATTCACCCCTAGGTGGGGCGAACTCTGGTCAACCATAACAACCTCTTCGGGCGCCACTGGGCCACGGCGAAGAGTAGTCTCAGGGGTGGCAGTAGCGGGGACAACAGGAAGGGCGGTGAGGGGGGAGGTAGTAGGGTGAAACCCTGAGGCCTGGGGGGAGGCACCCATCGCATAGGGCTGGTCAGATGTCCCAGACACTTCAGATCCAACCACCATGATTGGGTAACTAGGACTAGTGGAAGGGACATGAGGGACCAAAGCCGTGGAAGGGGCAGTAAGGGGGGTCGGTTGGCTTGGGCGTGAAAGGTGGGTGTTCAGAACATGTGCGAGTGCAGAGATTGGATCGGAGGGTTCGGAGGTATCGGCATGAGACAAGGGTGGGGTCGGAGACTCGGGAGGAGGAGGAGGAGGAGGAGGCACGTCAATAGGAGGCGGCACGGGGATCGCGGAAGTAACCAGGGAGGTAACAGCAGTGAAGAGGGCGGATATTGAACTAGGCAAATCACTGGTTATGGGTGCGTCAGAGGTCGCTGGGGGAGGGGTCAGAGGGACGGAATCGGGGGGTTGTGACAGGGTCGGAGGGGCAGGGATATCGGGAGGAGGGAACACGGAAAAAGGAGGTGGAGGGATAACAACGGGGGGTTGGGTTAGGGCGGTGAGGGCAGAGATCAGGGACGGCAAATCGGCCGCGGGAGTGGGAGGCAACGAGGTAGAGGGGGCTGGGACTTCAGGAGGAGGTAACGCTGGAGTAGGAGGGGTGGCGGCAATGGGTTGGGTCAGGGCGGTGAGGGCAGAGATTAGGGACGGCAAATCGGCCGCGGGAGTGGGAGGCAACGAGGTAGAGGGGGCTGGGACTTCAGGAGGAGGTAACACTGGAGGAGATGTAGGAGGAGGATCCTTGAGGATGGAAGGGGTATCTGTGGGTAAGGGGACGGAGGCAAGGGAACCGGGATTAACGGGTTGGACAAGATTCAGGAGAGCGGAGAGTAGGGACGGGGAATCCTTGGAAGAGGAGGAGGAGGGGAGTGGATGAGAAGGAGTGGGGGACAGGGTTTCCCAAGGGTACCGGGACTGGAGGGCCAACTGGGGAACAGGGGTCCTGGGAGTCGGGGTCGGTTGGGTGGATGGGAACGGGGGCCGTAGGGCACAGGGCAGACGGAGAGGGTGAGGGAGCAGAGATTACTAGGGACGGGGTACTCAGGGTGGAGAAGGGCTGAGAGGGGGAGGAGGATGGAACTTCGACAGTCGGGGCGGGAGTAGTTGGGGCAGAACTTGGGGTGCAGACAGGCACTGAGGGAGGTAACGGAGGGCAAGGAGGTGGGGGAGCTCCAACGGACATGACAGGAGGATGGTTGAAAGAGGGGACCTGGTCACAGGAGGGCTGGTGCATGGGAGTGGGTGGGAACGAGTGTTGTGGTACTGGGAAATAGTAGGCTCCATCTACTCCAAGTACGGGACATAGAGGGGTGGGGGCTGAAGACACACCCCTGGGGGGTGGAGTCTGTGCTGTGACGGGTGAAGCAGGGCGGGAATTTACTGCCGCGCTCTGGGCGCCATCATAGGGTGGTGGCCGTGGAACAATAGAAACAACATCATCATTGTGAACACTCCTATGATAAACATGTACGATCTGCCCTTCAAACTCCAACTCTTCCTCGACCCATCCTTCCCTTTTCTAACCTCTAGCTACACGATACCAAGCCTCTGCAACCTTCGTGAGTCCGTTATCCAACAATAAACCTTCCTTGTCTATGAGTACTTTCCTCCAAAACTCCGGTTGCAATCTCCCACTGGGTAACATCTGAAAGCCACACACCTTAGCAACCTTTTTAAGTTTCATCATTGCATCTTCCCCTGCTCTTTCTTTCACAATGTCACAAGCCAACAAACCCTTAGCAGGTCTAGCATGCTCCTGCCCCATCTTGACTAATCAAAGCGTGCCACTCATTAAAGACAGATGAATAGAGAAGGTATGAGGAAAAAAGGGAAAAAGAGTGTCTACAGTGCTCGACTGCCACGAGAACTTGAGCCCCGTGCGTCTTCCCCAAACGTAGACTAGTCACGGAGGTCCGCCCACCCGGGGTGGTGGCCGCGGACGGGAGCAAATGAGCGTGGGTGACTAACACAGCTCTGGGTCACAGGCACAGGAGAGATAAAGCACAAAAGAGAAGATGAACGTGGCTGCACTAATGAGAAGACATTTGCAAAAATCACAAACGTATAAATGAGCATAAACTCCCGAATCCAGAACTAACCACGCAACACACACACACACACCAAGGGTACCCACGCTGTAACAACAGTTAAACAAAAACCACAGAATGACAGAAAGTAGAATGGCCATGTACATGTTAAAATCACCGGTGCCAAATAATTGAAGTATAACAATTCTCAGCCTTCACCCACCAGGCTGGTCCCAGTATATCACAGGTATTAACGGGAGCACAGTAATAACAGTAATAAACAAACAAAATCCCAGCCCCACCGGCTGTAAAATCCCAGCCCCACCGGCTGTAAAATCCCAGCCCCACCGGCTGTAAAATCCCAGCCCCACCGGCTGTAATGCGTCCCCTGCCCGCTAGGCAGTCAAGCTAACTTAAAATCCCAGCCCCACCGGCTGTAAAATCCCAGCCCCACCGGCTGCAAAATCCCAGCCCCACCTGCTGTAATGCGTCCCCTGCCCGCTAGGCAGTCAAGCTAACTCATCAAAGGAATTAGAAGCACACACACACAGATGAATACAGGAGGCAGATAGACAACTGACAGGTTCACCTTAAAAAGGCACACCGGATGAGTTAATTACCTGTCTCTAGTAGCCTTCTGGAAGCCGGAAGTGGACTCGGAGACAGACCGACACAAAACAGGAGAATAACACAGGCAACGGCTGTATTATGGAGGTGATCAGGCTCCGCTTGTCCCACTTTCCAGAGGTCCGCTCCGGTCCGTTGGTTCCGGCCCTCCGAACCGGCCCTCCGGTGGCCCCACGTTGGGCGCCAATTGAAATGGAAAAATCAATTAAAGTATTGATTATTTCTTTGTGTATCTGCCCCTGGCCAAATCAATGAAACAATGCGTGCACGCTCCCTGAAGTAATTCACACCAGACACAGGTTCCAGGTTGTTGAATAACTTGAGGAAAGTTTATTCAGTGGGGACGGCAGGTCCCTTTTAAAGCAAAATTACATCATAAGCATTGTCAGAGATAACATGGAATAATACATCAATAATTGGTTAGGTGTTAAGTGGTTGTTCTAATGCTCTGCCTACTATAGGTGATGTCACCGGGGCCATGAGGGTCTCCCACGGTTTCCCGGCGCCATCTTGTTTGCACGAGGTAGTTAGTCGATGTTATGAAGGGAGGGGAGGAGAGGGTGGAGGGGCTAGAAGCTTCTAGCAGCCATTTTGATTAAACATGTATGCTTAACTCTATAATACTTTGTGAGATGAGTAAATAGACATTTTCTCTTATCTAGGAAATATGTGTAAACCTTATTTCCACAACAGGTACCCATAACCTGGATCTTATGAGGATTTTTAGGTGGTTTAAAGGTGCACTGCCACAGGGACCGTAGAGAATTTGCAAAGAACCCCGACGGTGACAACGCCTCTGGTGGCTGTGGGGGTAGCGGGGGGGGGGCAGGCAAAGGTGAATTCTACTTAACTGTGCCGCCATTTCCCCTCGTCTGGCGGTCCCGACATCACTGCTGTAATCTTGTGCATGGCGGTAGCTCTGCCCAGGGTCTAGAAGTGTCAGGCGTTAGAAAAATAGAGACCAGGCATTCCCTATATTGTTTCAGTATATCACTTGACTGGGTTGGAATTTCAGTGAAATTCGAATACAATCATTATGAGTATTTTATAAAGAGTTTATCTTTATGAAAGACTTTTTTATTTTTTTGAGAGGGTGACAGTGCCACTTTGATAATTTATGATACTAAAATTTAATTTACTTTGACCTTGAATTCAAAATTTATTTCGAATTTACCTCGTATTCATACTTTAGTAAAGAACAGGCTTTGTTACAGTGTCATTGTTATTTATTTGCTAAATGTTACAAACAGTAAAGCCTTGATTTAATATTTTTGGATAATGTTTTCAAATTAATTAATATTTTTCATGAACTGTATAGTTTTGGTTTTTTTTCAAAATATTAAAATATTGTATATTTAAAAATATCAATTCGGATAAATATATTACAATATTTTTTCAAAATATAAAAAAAATTAATAAATTTTAACGTTTATCCAAAAATAGTAAATCAATGCCTCTGTTGGGCAAACTGACAGAATATGTGGTGGAATCTCGGTAAAAATAAATTTAGTAGGCCGAGATTACCACGTGGCATGTGTACGTGCATATGCTGACGTATCGATCAGTTGGTTGCACGAGGCAAGATACGATCAGTAGTGTACGGAGCATGTGCAAGAATACAGGATGTAGTATTCCCCTCCTCCATTGTGCTGGACAAGCCATGCGGTCAAGCAGGAAGTTAATTCTTATTTGTAATGATTGGTCAAGAGAATGTGCGGGTGGAGCTTAATATGGGAGGAGTTATGTGCCTATATAGGGAGCCTGCACTATTGTTCAGGGCTCAGAACTTGCTGTATTTTTGGTGACATTAGTCCCTCTGAGTCCCGATCGGTGATCCAATAAAGAATCTCTTCCTTCCTGAAGAAACCTGTGTCCATCTCTCTGTGCTTTGCTTCCGTCAGTTTCTCCGGTATCATTTGGTGCATTGGCCGGGAAGCTCATCGTTCAACGGTAGCTGAGAGGCAGAGGCGTGAGACGGTCTATCTTTGCCCACGTTCTCTACGGCTGCACCCCTGAACTTCTGCGTGGACCTCCCTTCGTCTCGGCGCCACTGGTCTGTTGTCCAGGAGATCATCGGCCTCTACGTAAGAAGTGCTGGGGTGTCCCCGTCGATGAGTGTGAACTCAGGTTCAGGAACGAGGAGGTAAGACAACTGCTGTTTTAGACGGCAGACCCACTAGGGGTATACCGATTGTGCGGTAGGCCCAAAAGGGGTTTAAATCTGTGTATGGAATCTGCCCCCTCTGTCGGAGGGAAGGAGCGAAGGCGCACCGCTCGATCGAACGCTCTTTAGTAAGACCGTTTGATCTGGTTAGTCAGGCGGGGTCCTGTGTAAATAGCCCTAGCCGGACACCGGTGTCTTGTCTAGACTAGCGTTCTAGGGTGTATATTACGTTCGCTAGGTCGGAGGGACCGGGAGACTAAGCGGCGCCTGTGTAAATTCGGTTCGCTAGCTCTCAACCTATCTTGGCTAAGTGGGAAGGCGTGTAAATTTGGAACCCACTAGACTTTTGATAGAGTAAATAGACTAGAAGGGCAATTTTGTAAATTCCGCCCTCTAGTTCGCTATATGTGGTGCTTGGGCAGTGTGGCTAACCAAAACGGGTGTATATAGTTTTAGGTAGTCCATTCAAGGTACTGGCCAATAGTTTAGTTGGGATTGTAAATGTGTTAAAGATTGTTAGTAAAGTGTATATCTTGTTAGATAGCGCGAGCTCAGCCGTCTAGCGAGAGTGTTAATAGTGTGTTGCTGTATCATAGTGCACGGTACCATAACCCTGTATATTTACTGACACTGTATATAAGTACTAATCATTGTCGTCTATTGCATGTTTAACACCGTAACCACTAATAATTGTATTGTGACCTTAAATTGTGCTTTGACCTATGCTAACCGTACTGTAACCGATACTAGTAAAAGACGATGTTACTGGGGTGTGTTATAGACGGGTAATTCATATATAGAGAATTATAGCGTGGGTGACTGTATAGTTTCGCCAAAGGGCATAATATTGATTATTTAGTGACTGGTGTAACAGCTGTGTGTGTACGGGAATTCCCTGAGTGATTATTGTGTTATTGTGTACGTTTCACTCGGTAACTGTACCACGTGGTGCTGTTGCCAGAGGAAACGGGTGTGACTGTTGAATAAGAACGCGTGCATAGTATTCGTTGTCAACGACGTTCCATTGATAAGTATGGGCGCGTCAGAGTCAACGATTTCGGATCCCTTAGGTTGTATGGTAAAGAATTTTAAAAAGGGATTCAAAACATGTGATTTTGGGGTTAAAATGTCTCCTGTACGTTTGGTCACTTTGTGCACTAGGGAGTGGCCTACTTTGGTTGCGGCATGGCCGCCGCGTGGCAGTTTGGATCCAACCCTGGTACAGCGTGTACACGTGGCTGTATCAGGTAGGCCTGAACTTTACGGACAGTTTCCATACATTGATTGATGGAGGCAGGCCGTAAACGACTCGCCAAAATGGATCCGGATATGCCACGAGGAGCAGTGTCGCCTCATGGTGGCCAGGACTTGGTTGTCCACTAGGACTGGTGTTAGGCCCATTTTGGACACGCCCCCTGAGTCCGAGATCCCTTTGCCGCCCCCTTACTTTCCTTTAAGAGGAAGTGATGCGAATGCAGGAAGTTCTCCACCCCTTCCCCTATTGCCCCCATCCACTTCCGCTTCCTCCTCCAGTACAGAATCTACCCCCCCTCGTATTAAAACTCCCCTTCCGGAACCAGGACCAACCCCCATTAGATCTGAATATCCTGATTTGGCGCCACTTCAAACTTCCGGTCAAGCTTCTTCTAGCTCGGCTCGGAGTATACTATTCACTAACTTTTCCCAAAATCAAGTTCCCACATCCTCATGCCCTATTACCTCTCGACCGGAACCTTTAACTGACGCCCCTCCACGTAGCCCCATACTAACCCGACAACTGACCGGTACCCAACAATTAAAACATTATCAGATGCCTCTTCGTCTGAATCCTGGGTCAGCCTATATCGATGCCGCAGGTCAAATGGCACATGCTGACCCAGTCTTCGTATATGTCCCGTTCACGACTACCGATCTCTTGAATTGGAAGACCCACAATTCCTCGTACACTGATAAACCACAAGCTATGACCGATCTGTTTACCTCGATAGTTCAGACACATAACCCGACATGGGCTGATTGCCAGCAGTTATTAATGACATTGTTCAATAATGAGGAAAGGACAAGGATTAACCAAGCGGCCATTAAGGCGCTAGAGGAGAGAGCCCGTGCTTTAAATCAAGCCAATCCGGCAGCATGGGCCGCAACACATTACCCTAACACCGATCCTGACTGGAATGTAAATGGCGCAGATATGGCTCAACTTAAAGCCTATAGAGACGCTATAATTGCTGGCATGAAAGCCGGAGGGAAGAAAGCTATTAACATGTCGAAGACAGTTGAGGTGATTCAGAAAAGTGATGAAGCGCCCAGTGTCTTTTATGACCGATTATTGGAGGCATACCGCTTGTATACCCCCTTTAATCCGGAAGACGCTGATAATTCCCGAATGGTAAACTCCGCCTTTGTCAGCCAAGCTTACGGAGATATTAAGCGCAAGCTACAGAAATTAGAAGGGTTTGCAGGTATGTCTATCACCCAACTAATGGAGGTAGCGAACAAAGTATATATGAATAGGGAAACAGAAAGTAAGAAAGAGGAAGAGCGCAAGATGCGTAGAAAGGCAGATATGCTAGCGGTAGCGATCGCAGGCGTAGATAGACGGGGCCCAGATAGAGGCGATGGTAGATGGAATAGGGAGCCTTTGAGTAGGAATCAGTGCGCATACTGCAAGGAAGAAGGGCATTGGAGGAACGAGTGTCCGCAAAGAGAGCAGTATGAGAGAGACTTACCCAGGGCAGGTTACGGAAACTTTAGAGGCAGAGCGAGAGGTAGAGGAGGCCCCGGAGGGAATAATGGTAATAGAGGGAGTAATGGGAACAGAGGAAGTGTAAGGGAAGATAGGTACTATCCAGCAGCGCAAAGGTCCCGCGATAGAGAAGGTAGGGACTTTGTGGGATTGGCTGACACGGTCATGGAGGACTATTGATACCGACCGGGCTCCATCCCCCTTGGTCGAGCGGAGCCTATGGTCGATGTATCAATAGGGGGAAAAAGGAGTGCGTTCATGATCGACACTGGTGCTGAACATTCGTGGTGACTAATCAAGTTGCTCCTCCATCTGGAAGAACTATTACTGTAATAGGAGCAACTGGAAGAAGTGCTGAAAAACCGGTTCTTAAAAGTCGACTCTGTACATTGGGAGGCCACGTAGTAAAACATCAATTCCTTTATATGCCTGAGTGTCCAGTCCAATTGCTGGGACGTGATATGCTATCCAAATTACAAGCGCAGATTACGTTCCTACCAAATGGAACAACATCCTTAAAGTTTAATGGACCTTCAGGTATTATGACATTGTCCGTACCAAAGGAAGAAGAGTGGCGACTTTATACAGTGTTGACTAGCCAAAACCCGAGGAGTGATGAATCCTTATTTAACATACCAGGAGTTTGGGCAGAGAACAACCCACCAGGACTGGCCCGCAATATTCCACCTATTAAAATCGAACTAAAACTTGGGGTTTATCCAGTAAGCCTGAGACAATATCATATTCCGCAGAAGGCTAAGAAGAACATCCAATCTTATCTGGATAAGTTCATACGGTATGGTATCCTAAAATTCTGTACTTCCCCCTGGAACACCCCATTGCTGCCTGTTCAAAAGCCCGGTACAGATGAGTATCGACCTGTGCAGGACTTGAGAGCAGTCAATGATGCGGTTGTTAGTATACATCCAGTCGTGCCCAATCCATATAACCTGCTTGCTTTAATTCCGGGCGGGGCTACTGACTTTACAGTCTTAGATCTCAAAGATGCCTTCTTTTGCCTCCGAATTGCCGCAGAAAGCCAATGTATCTTCGCTTTCCAATGGGAAAATGCTGTAACGCCAAATGACCTGGACAAGATTGCCCCAGGGGTTTAAAAATTCACCTACCCTATTTGGTTCAGCTCTAAGTCAAGATCTACTAGATTTCGAGTCTATCCCAGGAGAGTGTGTATTATTACAATATGTAGATGACTTGTTGATAGCAGCAGTTACAAAGGAAGTATGTCAGCAAGCAACGCACGATCTACTACACATTCTCTGGAAGGCAGGATACAAGGTGTCAAGAAGGAAGGCTCAGTTGTGTTTGCCAACTGTCAAATATCTGGGATTCCATATCTCTGAAGGTCAAAGAATTATGGGGCCAGAGAGAAAAGAAGCTGTGTGCCAAATACCGATACCCAGGAATAGAAGACAAGTGCGAGAATTCTTGGGGGCAGCAGGCTTCTGTAGGATATGGATTCCCAGCTACGCGATACTGGCAAAACCTCTGTATGCAGCTATCAAAGGTACAGAGCACGACCCCTTCTTATGGACTCAAGAACAGCAAACGGCATTCGAAGATGTGAAGAGGGCTTTGATGAGTGCCCCAGCATTAGGTCTACCTGACCACACACGGCCATTCTACCTGTATGTACATGAGCAAAGAAGAATGGCTGTGGGAGTATTGACACAGTACTTGGGATCATGGCAAAGACCTGTTGCCTACATGTCTAAGCAACTGGATGCAGTGGCCAGCGGACTTCCACCTTGTCTAAGAGCTGTAGCTGCAGCCGCCCTGCTAGTAGCTGAAGCCGATAAACTCACTCTGGGTCAAGAACTTTATGTACGAGTTCCACATGCAGTACAGACGTTGTTGGATTACAAAGGAAATCATTGGTTTAGTAACAGCCGTATGACCAAGTATCAAGCAATGTTGTGTGAAAACCCAAGAGTGCATTTAGAGACTGTAAATACCTTAAATCCAGCCACCCTTTTGCCACAACCTACTGAAAGTCAACATGATTGTTTGGAAGTAATGGATGAAGTATTTTCAAGTAGACCAGATCTTCGTGATTTTCCCATCCAGAACCCTGATGTTCAATATTACACCGACGGCAGTAGTTATGTAAAAGAAGGGATCCGCTATGCAGGATATGCAGTAACAACGATAGACAAGGTGATAGAAGCTCGGCCACTGGCAAAAGGAACATCAGCACAAAAGGCAGAATTGATAGCACTGACACGAGCGTTACAATTGGCTGAAGGTTTAAGAGTGAACATCTACACGGACTCTAAGTATGCGTTTTTAACCACTCATGCCCACGGAGCTTTGTATAAAGAAAGAGGACTATTGAATTCAGAAGGCAAAGAAATCAAATACGCAGCTGAGATCCTACAACTATTGGAAGCAGTGTGGGAGCCGAAAGAAGTCGGTATTATACATTGTCGGGCGCATCTGAGAGGAGATGGTGATGTAACCAAAGGGAATCGGATGGCAGATAGTGCAGCTAAGCGTGCTGCTGAATCAGGAAGACAGGAATATGTGGGGCATATAGCTGCTCTTATACCAACTCCACTGTCTCAATGGACTCCAATTTATACAGCTCAAGAAGAGGAGTGGTTAAGGACTGAACCTGGAAAGTATTTGGAGAACAAATGGTATCAGTTAGAAGATGGAAGAATAGTTATTCCAGTATCACTAGCGGTAGAAATTGTTCAAAACTATCATAACGGGACACATTCTGGGAGAGACAGTACAGAAGAATCTCTCAGAAAACATTTCTACATACCAAGATTGTCCAACTTGATTCAGGCCATTGTACGTAGATGTGTAACGTGTGCTAAAAATAATGCAAGACAAGGACCAGTAAAGCCACCAGGAGTCCAGTTTATGGGGGGACTTCCCATGTCCGATTTACAAATTGACTATACAGTGATGCCTAAATCGGGTGGACATCGCTACCTGCTGGTAGTGGTGTGCACCTATTCAGGCTGGGTAGAAGCATGTCCTACTCGTACAGAGAAAGCAGGAGAAGTCGTGAGATTCCTGCTACGAGAAATAATACCCCGATATGGACTACCCTGCTCTATAGGATCGGACAATGGTCCAGCTTTTGTTCATCAGTGCCTACAACAATTGACTCATATGCTTGGTATAAAGTGGAGGCTTCATACGGCATATAGACCCCAGAGTTCTGGTAAGGTAGAGAGAATGAATAGAACTATTAAGAATCAGTTGGCTAAAATGTGTCAGGAAACCCAACTTAAGTGGAACGTTCTCTTGCCCATAGCTCTATTGCGAATCCGTAGTACACCTACCAGAAGGATGGGCCTCTCTCCTTTTGAAATCATGTACGGGCGACCACCTCCCGTGCTTGGTAACTTAAGGGGGATTTGAGTCAGTTGGGAGAAGGAATTACCCGGCAGCAGGTTGTAGAGTTGGGTAAGACTATGGAGGAGGTACAGAAATGGGTACAAGATAGATTACCTGTGAATATTTATCCCCCAATTCATAGTTACCACCCAGGCGACCAAGTGTGGATTAAAGAGTGGAATAATGTGCCGTTAGGGCCCAAGTGGAGAGGTCCTTATGTTGTTCTTCTGTCTACCCCTACAGCGATAAAAGTAGCCGAAGTGACTCCGTGGATACATCACTCCAGGGTTAAACCAGCAGCAGCCGATTCCTGGCAAGTTACAGCAAATCCAGAGAATCCCTGCAAGATCCGGTTAAAACGCACGACTCAGTCGGAGTGACGGGGAATCTTGTGGATTGCAAATTTTATTGTTTCAGAGACTTGGTAAGTGAGTGAGAAGGCCATAATAAAGCCTGTCCACTCACCAACGAGTGTATAAGTCAGGGAAAGTCTTGAGGGGACCCCTGTGAAGATGAGCAGAACTCCATTCCCTGCAGACCTTACATCCTGGAAGCTGAGGTGCCTTCGCACGGACGAAGACTGAGGATGA